GTGCTATAATTTAAATGCCCTTTTTATGAGCTCAGTTATTGGAGGATCAAGATGAAATTGCTGAGAACACAACCTGGCATCTCATTAAATCATAGCCCAGCATTTCCTTGTGTGACTAATACTGGGTGAAAATAAATATATTTTTCAGCTTTCTGGCCAAACCAAGGGAGAATCAAATTTAGCTCAACCCAAACCAAAAGGGAACTTGGAGGTTTTGGCCAAACCAGACTTGATTTAGAGTCAGCTGAAAATGTCTTGCTGGTTCTCAGGTTTTTTGTGGCTTTAGCTATTTGCACTTCAGAATTTTTTTTTTCCTAGTGGGAACTTACAGCAACTTTTTTCAAGTCACTACTTAAGTATTTTGAAAGTGACTCTCCTCTTGGTCTGAACTATGCTGAGTTTTACCTGCAGTCTTGCACAACTTGGGATTTCTCCATCTGAACCAGGGAACTTTTTTTTTGTCCTTTACAAATATTTGCACAGGTCTAGTAGGCACTGCAGTTTTGGTTTGTATTGTATTTGTGTCTGGATGCTGGAATTAAACCAAAAGTGGGAGCTGCAAGTGCTAAACCAGGGAATAGGGTTTGAGTCTGCTAAATAATGGCTTAAATTTGAAGCAAAGCATGAGGTGCTGAATGATGCATGGGCAGAAGTGACTTGGCCTTGCACTAAAAGTACTCAGACACCATTTTTTTTCCCTGAATAAATGAATATAACAAAGCGAGACCAGGCTCAGTGCAGTTGAGGCTGCCTTCTGCACAACTGCACTGTTTCTACCCTCCATACAGGTGCATCAGACCTTCTCTGTAGCACCTTTTTAAATCTGGTTTTACTCTGGTTTACCCTCACTAAACCAACTCAGCCTGATTTGTAAAGGTGTTATTGACTTAAATTGTGTCCTTACATTGACCTAACTAGACTGGAAATTCTTCAGTGGTCCACACTCAGTTTTACTGGTGTAAGTGATACTGGGGTTCAGATGCGTATGTCTATGTCAATAGAGCTCTTTACAGAAGAGGTGGAAGAAACTGTCTCAGGTGTGAGAAGTCTTAAACTCTAGGACTGTGGATAAAATTATTTCAGATAAAAATGGGGAATGATGACAGTGGGTTTCTTGGTGTCTTGTCAATGTGCTCAGTGTTGCTAAATCTTCCAGTACCTCCTGAGCGCTGTGAGATCCTCTTGTTGCACACTTTTCCAGTTCCTCAAAGTAAGGAAACAGCAGACTCCTGATTTAGAGAAACACAAGGTTTTGGTATGGCTGCCAGGAAAATTAGTTTGTATGTGAAAGCAACCCAATAACAAAGAGCAGCCTTTTAGAGTCAAGTTTTCCCCTCCATACCCAAGAAGCTCTTGAGCTGAAGTCATATTGTAACCCTGTGGACTGGCACTCCTAGCAGGACTGTCATGTCTGGAAAGCATGGCCTTAGAGACAAGATACTGGAGCTAAAACATAACCTTGTCACTTCAGGGAGAAAACTAGCTACAGGAGAATGTGTGGCTTGCTTAATTATTGCACTATGTAATAGATTTTTCCAAATAACTTGCTATATTGTGACATGACTTAGTGTATTGTAGCTAGGGGAGCAGGGCTCTTGCACACCGGCTTTCCTGCCTCGGGTAGGAGCAAGTTGAAATTCTAGGTTTTGTGAGGTTTTTGTTCTTGGATTTACTGAAATGAGGTGGAAGCAGGCAAGCAAGTACTGCTGAGCAGCACTGCTAAGAGATGACTGGTAACTTGAACCTCCACAACACGTACAAGCTTACGTTCACGTGCATGCCTTAATATCCTGCCCCACATCAGGCACCGGGGTGTGATCAGCCCTTGCTCTGTAATAAGTCTTCTCTGGCCGTACTTTGTACTTCAGTAGTTTCTTGCTAGGTCAGATACTGCCTGATAGACATGGTAGGAAAGGGATGATGGCTGGGAAGTGTTAGTACAGCTCTCTGAGCGATAGGTATCTGATAACCGCTTCTGGCCACCCCCAGAATAGAAATGATGTTCAAAATGCCCAGAAAGCCTTCCTTTTAAAAAATAGATTGATGCACTTAACAGCTATGGTATGAAAATGCTGAGCACAGCACTCAAAATAAGGGTCACTTTTGCTAATGGTGCATTAACCGTTCACTGTTGGTGACCAGTTCACGTGGATGAAGGTGAGAGAACTGAAGGTGTTGGACTAATTGAAGGTTCTCCTGTTAGTCTAAAGCCCAGAGTTCACTTATCTTCCCCCTTGGCTTGCTGAACTGTAACACAAGGAGACTTGTCCAGCCACAGCAGGATTGCTACCGAGGGCTTTGATTTGCTTGTGAAAGCCGGTGTTGTCTGTGCTTATTTGATCCCTTGGGAGGGAAGGACAATGGTTGTTGCCAATCCAAACTATGGGTTTAGTTGAGAAGATAGCTTGCACTCTATTTTCAATTACTTTAGAAGAGATTTATTCCTAACCTTAGGACCTGCCTTGATCTTTCTCTCTTCAAAAGCTGATTTGAGTAAAAAAAGGACAAGGGGCTGTGGTGGAGGGGTGTTAGGAAATAAATGAAATACTGTCATCTTACTCATTACCTATATTGTTCTAATCAAGCTGTTTGGTTGCTCTCAGACAAATGCCTTTGTCAGATTAATTTGTGTAAGTAGGCTGCTTGCAATCTGTGATCAGGAAGTCAAACTCAAGAAAATACTTGGTGGTGTGATTTTTTTTAATTTTTTTTTTGTATGCAAGTTATTAAGAACTTAATAGAAAATATAATGTGCTCCTGACTAGTACATCTCCAGCTAAAGATCTTCAGAAGCCATTAGTGGAACAACCTTCAGGGTGCATGGGTGTGAGAATACCTATTAAAAGGAAAGAAATGATCTAGGATTATGAAAGAGATGTTAAAGGAGAGACGAATCGTCCTGTCACGGAGGATTGTGATAGGTGCTTGCTAGATAAATAAAAGGGAGGAAGCAGTCAAAGTGACTTTAAACCAGAAAAAAAGGAAGGGGGGGGGGGGGGGGAGGAAGCACACCGAGGTAGGAAAACACACTTCCATACCTCTTTCTGTGTCTGTAGGCAAACTCTATGTACATATTTCACCTGTGCTTCTCAGAAGAGTTGAGAAGTAGTAGGTGGCTTTAACTGGAACAGGAGAGCTGCAGTCCAGGCTGGCGTTAGCCACCTCCTCCAGCTCCACCAGGCCACCTTGCTGGGAAACTCTGACAAAGCAGCAGAAAAAAGGATGGCTACCCAGATCAGTTCTGTTTAAATATCCCAGGGTGGAGACAGACCTGTTCTTTTATGGCCTCTAAAGATCATCTCTCTGTTTATTTCAAACAACTTGTTGCTAGTCTTTGTTATGGGAGTCAAACAGTCATCACATGCGCAGCAGGGCTGGCTGGATGGCAGCCAAGGATTTCCCTCTGAGCAGTAATCCTACCCACTACAAGGCTCCTTGAGCAAGGGGGTCAGCTTGGTTTTATAACACACCTGTACTAGAAAGGGGAAAAATGACAGCTGAGAGCAGATAGGGAAAGCCATTTGGAGAGAGATCTGCCCAAGACAAAAGTGAAAATATGTTGGTTTGGCACCTTGCCTTCATGTTTCCAAAAGCACTTTGGGAGATCAGGTGAAATTTAAGTGTAAACTGCTTTCTGATAATGTAGGTGGTGGTTTTTTTAAGAGAGCTTTTTTTGTAGAAACTTCTGTAATACTGCAAGTACTAGGCATGTTGCACTCTATCTTTTGATTTCTCGACTATTAAAAAGCAGATGGGGGAAGAGGGAGATTACACCTGGAAATCATGAAAGTTATTTCCCATAAAAACATGGTTGTCAAATTCTACAAAAGTTAGCAGAATTGGGCTAACAGTAACTTAAAGTCACTGTTTAAGACTTCAGAAGTGACCTTTTCACAACCAACAATATCTTGTGTTTCTCAAAGTTGAAATGTGTGTTCGTAAGCCTTGTGCACCAGTAGAGAGCATGTCATGTGTCATAGTGCCAAGTATAACAATGCCATCTTCCTTGACAGTTGCACTATAAAGTCCCTTCAGCGACGTCACGTTTGCATCAGCCGCCTGGAGAGGCCTCAGAATTGGGGTGAAAACTCCTGTGAAGTGAGATTTGTGATATTAGTCCTGGCTCCTCCTAAAATGGTGAGTATTGCGTTCCCGTTTGCTCTGGTGCTTCAGGGGGCTCTCCCACAGGATTGCTTTTCCTTAGTGTCCTTCTAGGGTTAATTTTAAAAATATTATTTTTAAAATACAAGAGGATGTGAAAAGGCCTGAGATCTTCTTGGCTATTGTCAAGGTGGTTTGTACTAACAGTGTGTGTAAGAGTAGATTACTCAGCTGTGTCCTCACCTCTTACTGGAGGATGGCCTCTAGCCCAACTGGGAGGATAACACTGCAGATCAAGTGTGTCTGTAGTCTCCGTACACTTTTTGCTGGAGATAGAGCTGTGATGCATGTATTACTCCACAGACTCCCCCCTTCCAGCTTTACCGGTTTAGCTACTATTTTTAAAGGTAAGGAATGCTGTTCCTAGTTAAAGCCATGCTTGTGAAGGGCTCTTGCGAGCCCGCAGATGATACCCCACTGCAAAGGTCTGGATTGCTTCCCAGCAAACTCTCTTGATGGGACTGACAGTTACGCTGCAGATGTGGTTGCAGCAGTTGTAGATGGACTGGTGTAACCAAGAGGAAGGTGTAGTTTTGTGAGCTCTGAAGTACAGGCTAGGCTATTTGGGAGCTACGGTGCTTGTGAGGTCAGACTGTCCTTGAGGTCCTTTGGGATGTGTTTTCACAGCTTTTGGCACTTGAAGCAGCAAGGTTAAAGCTTGCTCAAGTGTACTTACTGGTTCTTTGGTGTCGACGAGGCCAACAAATAGCATAGCAGTACACATTTAGTGCAATATCACAAGGACCATTGAGGTTAATTGGGGATCACTGTCCTGTCTTTCCTAGAAAGCACTGGCTTGATCAAGGTGGTGTGGTCTAGCTAATGGTCGAACGGTTCAAAGCTCAAGACCTTTTCACACTTAAAATCGCTGTTTACACCTTGGGGCTGCTAGGTCTGTGCTTCTGGGAGGTGCTGGAGAGGTTGGGGACCTTGTCTGGAACAGGACATATCCTGATTCAATTTCCTGCTCTTCAATGCTATCTGTGTGACCTTAGGACCTTCTAGTCTGGTCTGTCTGTCTCCTCCCCCTTCCACTACCATCCTTGTTTAAATGGAAATACCGGTGTTTCCTTATTTCCCAGGATTTCTGGCC